CCCCCCCCCCCCCCCACACTGCCGCTCATCCCGTTCTCCCGAAACCAGAAGAACCTGCCACTCAAAACCAGTTACAACTCACCTATCAATATGTCAATTTTCACAAACATTACTAGGCATAAATAAAAAAACAAAAGAATATAAACTCAAGACTTTACACTTCGGGCTTCTCTCTCAATACGATCTAGTTCATGAAGATCGTATTGTGTCTCAGTGTAGGGGATATCCAAACACTTCCCCTGCTTCGCATCATCACGATCTTCTGCCAACGATACATTACCAGTTTCATCGTATGCCACTTCATCACCAATCGCAGCTTCTTTTGGCATTTGTGTCAGAAGATCAAACGATGGACCACCAGCATCAAATCTCAGCTCTAGATCATCCCCATTGTTAATTACACCATGTGTATTCCCCGCTCTAGAAGGTACTGCCTCTTGGACCTTAACTTCATCATTGCCTCCCATCAATGAACCTTTTCCTGATGCTGAACCAGCTTCAACAGATACGTTTCTCTGTTTCAGAATGCCTAATATCTCATCCAGCTTACTGTCTTGCACCACTTGTTTCTCCTTTATCTGTCTAATCTCCTCAACAATATTCATGTGATCACAACCCTTTGTTGTCACACAATCCTTCTTGCCTCTACGACCCACCACATTATCAACTTTTTTCACACTGCCGCACTCAACCTTCTTTACCCTGGCCAACTTCTCAGCCCCAGCATCTAATCATTCAGCTCCCATCTTGCCCAAAGCATCTCGTATGTTCACCTGCTTCTCCTTCACATTCCGAACCCGTTTCGTAGCACTCAGCGACAACTTCCGCTTACCCTTCACCGAAGAAGTGTTTCTAACCTGGAAAAGCTCTTTAACACTCTTCAACAACATCTCTGCGGCTGTTGGCTCAACTTCTTTCACTACAACCTGCATGGGAAAACAACATAATAAATGCGCACAATGTAATGAAAGAACAGAAATATAACAAAAAAAACCCTTACCTTCCCAGACTTAAACAGTGCTTCAGATACTTTTGCAGCGTTGAATTTCCCACTGACCTTCCACCTCAAACATCGGGGTATTGAATTCACCCTTCCATGTTCTATCTCACACATCCCAGCCTCTTCCAACGCTGGGAACGTCTCAAACGCCCACACTTGTAATGCAAACATGTAGCCTCCAAATGTCGGCCTACTGCTACCACCCTTTTCAATACAAATAGCACATCTATACACATGATCTACTAACTCGGACCAGACATCATCCCCCCATGGGTAATTATCGAACTCGTCAATATCATCAACCAAGTTCAGATAACACATCGGCAAATTAACAGATGGCTGGTTACCAAGAAATGAGTTCGCCAGTGCATAAAGCAAAGCCATCTTAAGAGCATCATTGGGCATTGTCCCCTCTGCATCCCTATTAAAGCTAATGAATGCTTTGGAAATGTCTCTTCGCTTAACCGATTTGCTAGAGGGGAAATACCTTGATGCAAACCTACCACACGCCCCATTGTCCATTCGCCCCCGAAATCCACCCATTTTTAACCCAGTAATCAAGTGAAACTGCGCCTTTGTCAAGACAACTTCACGCTCAAGGAGTCGAAATTTTAACACGTCCTTACTCCCACCGCCATCCGCCGGCCTCACAGTACTACCAACCAAATGAATTAGCAACTGCCCGCTAATCCATGGGCAATCTAACACATCCAAAATAACACCAAATGCTGAAGTCCTAAACCTTTTCAACTCATCGTCACTTAGTTTCGATCTGATATTCCTAGCCACTTCATTGACGTTGCAGTAAGTATTAATTCGACCGTCAAGCAAACCACCCTTATCCGGCTTCTGCACGTCCTATAGAATGCACAAACCATACAGTAGCACACAAAAAAAAACATCCCCCACTGTTAACAACCGATAACCAATATGTTATAACACGAAATACAGAACGGTGGAAGTATAAAATACACACAAACATCTACTGCCCAATATTATGTTCGTGCTTGGGCATTTGCAAAAGACACGAATCTAAAAGACACACTGCCACATAAGAAGTACACAACATAGAACATTAATATTAAAATAGGCAGTAATCACACAAACACATAAACCACTGTATTACCCAAAAAACCAATAACCCAATGCCACACATATTCAAATACCAGTCAGGCACACCACCCAACTGCAATGTGAGCTCAATGGATATTACAAGGTTTGACTATAATTAACTTCCGAAACCACATAGCCGAAAAACCACATTGCCAATCTCATCATTGAATCACAACAACTACATGTACTTCCAAAACGCAGCACACAACAGAACAAAACCCCTAACTCACAATGCACCAAAACAATTCCATATTGATGGACACACTTCCACCATACATGCATAAACCCTTTAAACATATGAAACAGAAAATGCATGAAAAGGGGCCCCCAGATCATTAAACAACCCGGCCATATGTAAAGCAATCAATGGTTATGGAAAGGCAGTCCAAAATAAGCTCCTATCTACACCAAATCCATATGGAATGTCAGAAGCAAAACCTCCTACACCATATCCATATGGAATGTCAGGAGCACATCCACCATAAGCAAGTAAATAAACTCCCGATTCGAAACACAATTCCTAACTGCGTGACAACTACAAAAAAGGTGAATGCAAAAGACCCATTCGACTGAACATCTAGACTATCATTACACTCAATTTAATGACAAAACGCTAACTGTTCGGTAAAAGGAAACCCCAATAACTAAGCTTCACACTGCAACATGCAACATCAAATGGGTTCAGGGGAAGTATTTCAAGGCAGTATATCAGAAAATCCACTATTAAAAAAACAACACCACTGCAAGACACAAACCCCACAAAAATTGTTCGTCAACCTTGTTCAGCAAATAATCCAAAACAGAAATACGGCATTCCACAACACATGGCAAAATTGAAAACAAAAAACCCACAAAACCCGAAAAACCCCACCTCAAATCACAAGCCCAACCAGCTCTGAACCATGAAAACAGCCATGCATACTTCCAAAATCCAATTAAAAAAACCTAGAATTTCATACATGTACTGTAAAATACCTGAACCATCTCCATTCGCCTCATAAGTGGAATATCATCGAGTTCATCCTCCGCTGACAATGCATCTCCAGCACTTTTCACAGCTTCCTCTTTCGCCATTGCAATTCTCGCACTGCGTCGTCTCACCGGATGAGAACTGTGACAGTTCGCAATGTCTGGACTCTTCATGTTTAAGATTTTAATTTTGGCAGTGCAAAAAATCCGGCTGATTCTTCGAGCTCAAAAATCGGGATGCATCCAACAAACAGTGAAAGCAAACCAGGCGCCGGAATAGCCGTCCTCAATAATCGGGAAATATTCACTGCCAGGTTCAAATCATTTTCCCGCATCGTAAATATCACAGGGACAAAACCGGAACTAAACATGTGTAAACAGTAACTGTGCTAAATACGTATTAATTCTTATACAGTAGTGCTATTTCAGTGCTTAACCCAAGCTGAAATTGGTAAGAAATACTCGCTCCGTCCCATAAAACTCTTCCCTTTTTTTCATCCATCCCAAAAAACACTACTCATTTATCACCAAAAGTCTACCATACCCCTCAATACCAAACCCTATCCAAACTCAACCCTATCCATCCTCTACTCTATCCAACCGTATCCCACTTTATGTTTTGTAACCCTAGATCGCTCCTTTATACCACCGATTCCCAGAGCATCTCTCATCTTCTTCTCCCCTCTTCTCTCAGATCGAATGTGTATATGTTCTTCTCCTCACTGAATCCATGAAAAAGAACTAATTATTCTAACCACAAGGTGGGCAACATGATTCGTGGATCTCTTCACAAAATTATAGCTCAAACTATTAAAGTAAGATGTACTCCGTAACTTATTTAATATCAGAAACAATGAAACCAAAAGAAGAAAAAAGGGTTCAGACTCAAGAGTGAAAATTACTTGGTGCACATTAGTCTCGATATCAACATTGTCCCGCACTTTTTAAATTGAGAAAATGTTTTGTAGGACAGAGACAGTAATGCATCATTTCCACCATCGCGTAAAATATTCGATGTTTTGATTTTTGGATAGAGAAATTGTAGGAGTTTGACCAAAATAAATGATGACAAATCGACAATTGAAACAAGTAGCTAGGATCGAGATATGTCAAAACGGATAGGGCAGTGGCGTAGAACGTAGTTGATGAAGGCGTAGAACGTAGTTGATGTAGGTTAAGTTAGATTTAAAAAAAAAAAAAAAGTAACTCTGTCTATTTAGCCTAAATTAAAATATTTATGAGATAAATAAAATGTGAAAATTAAAAAGTTTTATGTGAAAAAGGTAAATGAATTTAACCGTAGAACAAACTATAATTAAGAGTGCAAAGTAAATACTCTGTGATAGAAAATACTGGAGTTGTTTTATGTGAATAATGGTATATTCATGCTCGTGCGTAATTGTTGGAGTTAGTGGGTTTTGGGCGTGTTTGGGAATAGTGTTAGCGATTAGCGTCAGCGTTTTGGATAAAATTTTAACGGTGCAGATTAATTTGAAAACGCTAACGCTAAAAGCTACCCGTAGATAGCTTTTTGAAAACGCTAACTCTAATCACTAAAGCTATTCCCAAACATGCCTTTCGACGTTTTGCCGTGAATGCCGGGATGGAGATCGTTGGTCTGCCTTTCCATCTTTAATTATGGTGTTTCTTAATTAATGGGATTTCGTGATCCATGGAGAATTAAAGAAAATAATTTGAACCAAGTGGAAGTGGAGAATGAGGGAGCACTGTATAATACTTTTGTCTTTTTACACAGTCTGCTTTTGTTGACTAATTGGCAAAAGAGTTATTGATTCATTTGATTGTAAATTTGTAATCATCCAATTGAGACAAGAGTTCATGATCGCAAATCTAAACGGGTTTTACCGGCATAAAAAAACAAAATAAAAGAGGCAGGTTTTTTCATGGGATATTGTGTTTATAACATAGTTTTCAGAATCGAACCGGTGTTCGAACCGGTCAAGGCACTGGTTCACTAGTTTACTGGTCGAACTAGTAGTTCGAGTGGTTGAACCGGCGGTTCAAACATTTTTAATATATATATATATACACACACACACACACACACACACATTGTGGCATTGAATTAAAACACTAATATATGATTAATAAATTAATATTTCTTCTATTTGTAAATAAAGAATTGATGTTCGACTAAATTTATAATTTAACTTAATTTACTTGAGTTGTTTCATTAAATAAAACATAAAATTTACTTATTTTAAAAATCTTAGAAATAAAAATGATTTTAATTTTTTTAAACATTTTATCTAGTATTTAAAAATATATATAAAACATTTGTGTGATATGCACTCCATATCAATTACTTAAATGAGTTTTGAATTTTAGTAAAAATAAACTATATACTTAAAAAGTACTCCGTATTTGATTTAAAAAATTTGAATAAAGAATATAACAAACGAATTGTAGGAAATTGCCAATAAGCATCCTAGCAGAGATGGCTGGAGCGGCTTCTCCTTTCATGCAGTCTTGTGTTCGAACCTCCCAGGCTTGAAGTTTTAAAAATTATTCATAAAAAGGCATGAAAAAACCGGATCCGGCGGTAAAACCGGCCGGTTTATTCCGGTTTCAACTGGTTTCCACCGGTTCATGGCTGAAGGCAGTTTGAATGCCTGAACCGGACCGGGGTTCATGGCTGAAGGCGGTTTGAATGCCCAAACCGGACCGGTTTGGTGTCCGGTTCCCGGTCCCAACCGTCCGGTCCGGTCTAGTTTTTAAAACTATGGTTTATAGTGGACTTCTTATATACTTTGATCTTTACTTTCATTTTTTCGTTTTCCCTAAAGCACTTCCTTTTTTGGAAAAAAATGTCTCGTATATCTAAACTAAGTTATTGTAATATACTACATTCAATTTGCATTGATATAATAAGTCATTTAAATAATTTATGTCTTTTTTTCTTCGATGATAAGCATATAATGAAAAGGTCAAATTATGAAAACAAATCTCTCCTAAGTCAAAATAGGAGTTATTTTAGATAAGTACAGTATTGGATAAGTACAGTAATTTTTAAGTATTTAGATAAATATTTTTTTAAAAAAAATGTTTTGTGTGAGAAGATACGTGTAGATCTTAGTTCCACTAAAGAACCTCTCAACAAAAAATAAAATAATGTAGGAAAATTCTTTTGTACTTTTTAGATCTATACTTATTTTATAGATTTTGAATCATGAAATTGTTAAATGTATTTTGCCTTGTCAAAATATAGATCTAAATACAAGTCCATAAAAATGGGTGAGAAACTCCACACTGCACATGGAGTGAGATAAAATAATAATAACTGCACTCCACATTCCAAGTTCAGGAAGGAAAAAAAATAATGACTATGAATCATAAAGATAGTGACATAGAATAAAATACATCCGGTTTTAAATATTCATGAACTCTTCACAAAGATGTTGCAGATATGCACAGGAAAGATGTCAATAGTAGATCTCTGTCACAAATCTGGCTAATTCTTGTAGTATATACTTCCCAACATAATAATATTAATAATAAGTATGTATAGATACTAAATAGTAATAAATTCAATAACATTAAAAAACATATACTCTGCATATAATTACTTTAGAATAATGGGCTACCATTTAATTACTTACCTTGTATTCTTATATATATATATACACACACACACACACACACACACACACACACACACACATATATATATATATATATTGGTGGAACCTTCATGCTTCAACTAAATCAATTATTATCAAATTGTATTATGGTATTACAACTAATTAAGTTACTTTCTCCAAAATTCTAATTCCTTCTTCCTCAAGCCGTGCACCACCACGGCGCCACACACCATCTTCACATCATCAATCAATTTGCGAGCAATGCCCTCATATGATCCATTGGCTTCTTTTTTCATTCAGAATCAAATTACTACTCCGTATTTTCCATAATCTTATTTCTAACAAACTCATTGATACATATTTTCCTACATTATCCCTTAATGTTCATACCACTCTTCAAGTCAATCTTCAGGTTGAAGTGGTGGAATTGAAGAATTCCCACCAACAAATCTCCTAAATGAAGGGGTTACGTCTCTAACCTTACACATGTTCAGTGGGTTGTGATTGATACTTATATTTGGGTTAATCTTTCTATTTTTATCATTACGTTCCTCTGTTCACAAATATGTTAGAGATTTCACCACATCGGTTGCCCTATGAAAAGCGTTGGCCACAACGTATAACTTTGCCACCAGGACTCATATTTATCAAATATATATGGGATAAGCTTCACACCCTCCTTAAAAGTAAAATAATTATGACTCAATATCTCGATGAGGTAGCAACAAACAATAACAACATTACCCTAGTGCCTCAACGGATCCCGCCTATTACGGGGTAAGGGGCGAGTCGGATCTATGTGGTCTAACCTTAATATTTAAAAAAATAGAGTAGTTATTTTGAGATGACCCATGATGAGCGTCGAAATTTGCATGGACTAATTGCTACCTTACAATTACAAGAAACGTAGACAGATTATAGAGCCAAATTATAGAGCCAATTTAGTTTATTGTATCATACCCCAAAGTCAAAAAATAGTGAACCTTTGGCGCCACAGGGGATGAAATCAATGAGGTAGCCACAATCCCAGCAAATTTGGATGCATGCCATGAATGAATGTATTTCAAGACATGATATCGTCAATATTGTCATCCACGAGCTTCTTAGTGAATACTCCAAATAAAATTTTGTATGCAAAATGTAAAAGTTGCTCTCAATCAGCTCTCTAGATGACTCATTTCATAAGAAATTAACTAGAGATTGAGCACAAACTAAATTTAACTAATTCAGTTTTCAAGGAGAGACATTTGGCTCTTCTCGCCTTTAGAAGACATGGATGCGGTCGAGATGACACGGATGGAGCAAAGGGTACTTTTAGCCGCAATCTAACTGTGGCAACAACATTGGCCATCGAGGGGTTGTGGTTCTGGGTAGGGATGGGTTCCGTTTTGACATATCGATTTTCAGACAAAACTATAATAAAACAAAAGGTAAGAGAGGTTTGGGTTGACTCGGTTCAGTGTCGCACAATAACATGTAAATCATCGGTTATTTGATTCAATCTTATGAGGTTTTTCCAGCTTTTTCAGTTTTTAAAAATAAAAATTTATAAACATTAAAAAAATTGTGACAAGGCTAACTTGGTGAAGATTATAGTTCGACTTGAATTTACTCATTTACGTACAAACTATGTGTCGAGTGCCCAAAAAAACATATAGGAGATTCCAAATACTCCAAAAGCCTTTGTATGTATATATTACTTGCAGGGTATTGCGTTTTTGGTATAATACTTTCATTTCTATTATCACACCAAAATTTTTCGTGTAAATATGTAAATTAATCATATTAATTTCTAGTGTTAATATAACTCCATATTACAATTAGTTATTGGTCTTTATATTTTTATGTTTTTTAAAGTTTATAATGTGATTTAAAATGTTTAGTAGTTAAGACAAATTAATTTTAATCGAATGATCAGTTATTTATATTTGTACTTCTATAATATTTTTCACTTATCACATATACTCTCTCTCTCTCTCTCACAGAGAACACAAATGTTTGTAGCTAACTTGAAAATTTGCCACAAAACATTACACTTACTGCAATTGTATAGGATTGCTATTCGCTATTACTACTAGACCCATAGACAAGCCCATTTAGAAATTTTTTATAAGGTCCATCTACCCAAATACGGAGTACACAACTGCAGAGGCCTTCTTCTATCTTCTTCTTCGATGTGGACATTAAATTGAGACGCGGCCCAGATTTCTATCCTTCATCTTCTTCGAGCTGGGCCGCGATTTGATGCAGGGGGAGCGTGGGTCGACGAAGGTGAGACGACTCCGGGGCTAAGGTCTCGAGCCCTAACCCCCCGGCCCAGTTTTCTGATGGTGGCCGGAAAGCGAGGGCGAGCGGGCAACTGGGTAAATCCCAGACCTGCGGTTCTTCTTCGTCTTGCTATTCCATTTTTTCATCATTGATGAGCTATTCTTGATTCATGTTGTGCTAAATGTTGGGATATTTGATTAATTAATCAAAAAGAAAGAAAGAAAAAATCACAAAGAGGACAAAGAAGATCAAAAGTGGGATATTTGATTGACTTGGTGCATGTCATCAAATCAAAGAGGATTTTTTGGTTTCTTGACTCCTTCTCAAGCCATGCAAGCATACGGAGTTTTTTTTTTGTTATAAAAGTAAGGCAATATGTGGGTGGGCAAAACACACTAAGAGAGAGAAGGAGGGTTTAGAGAAAGGTGCTATACAAGATATCACCAGATTGTGTGAGTGAGTGTAGGGACTAACTGGTTTTAGTTACTCAGAAAAATACATCCTGGTGTAGGGTGTGAAAAGTCTGTTTATAAGTGTCTGGTATTTAGCACTTATAAACCGAGAGAGTTTTTTGTATATCGTTCTGAAATAGTGAAGATATAATTTTCTCTCTCATATTTTCTTCTTGTGTAGTGTGTTATTTATTTTTCACGTTCTTGATATTTTAAGAGTCTTACGCGCTTAAAATCCCAACAATTGGTATCGGAGCCAAGTTACATTTGGGGCGGAGGGATTTCTAAGCGGTAAGAGAAGAAAGTCGAGAACTTGAAAAATGGCATCGCTAAAAAGTTTGAATGTTTCTGTCGAACCTTTCGATGGACGTGGCGATTTTACTCTGTGGCAACAACAAGTAAAAAGTGTTCTTACTCGGGAAGGGACAATCAAAGCTCTGAAGGTGAAGGTTCAGAGGACAGAAAAAATGACGGATGCTGAGTGGGCCAAACACCGGAAGAACGACAAACCGGAAAAATTGTCGGAAGAAGAGTGCGAGGATTTGAAGGACATGGCAACAAGTACAATATGCCTATGCCTTGCAAATAATACTCTTCGGGAGGTTCTCGGTTTGACGGACCCGGTGGAAATTTGGGACAAGTTGGAGAGCCGGTATAAGTCAAAATCGTTGACAAGTAGGCTATACTTGAAGAAACGATTGTTTGGTCTCCAAATGGCGGAGGAAGCTAACTTTAATGGGCACTTGGATGAATTCAACAAGATTACAACAGAGTTGGAATCCATTGACGTGAAGATTGAAGAGGAGGACAAGGCGCTGCTTTTATTGGCTTCATTGCCTTCATCTTTTGACAACATCGTGACCACGCTCTTGTTTGGAAAAGAGACCTTAAAATTTGATGAAGTAGTTGCTGCGTTGTTGATGAACGAGACTCGGCGGGGTGGCAACGAGGTATCAAATGATGGTCAAGCTTTGGTTGCAAAAGGAGCTGGTCGGGAACGAGGACGGTCTAAAGAGAGGGGCGGCGCGTCCCAATGCTTCAAATCGAGTAGTAAAAGCTTTCGGTGTTACTACTGCGATGAAGAAGGTCATTTCAAAAGGGATTGTCCAAAGAGGAGGAAGGAAAAGAAGGACGGGAAAATACCCGTGACTGCGGTTGCAGAAAGTTCGAGCCAAGAAACTGAAGAAGACTTATTTTTGGCAACCGCAAAGAGCCTAGATAAATCAGATTGGATATTAGATTCGGGTTGTTCGTTTCATATGTGTTCAGTTAAGGAAAAGTTTGATACCTATCAAACTTGTGATGGGGGTGCTGTGAAGATGGCAAATGGTGCACGGAGCAAAATTGCAGGGGTCGGAACAGTGCAAGTTCGCATGTTTGATGGCGTGGTGAGAACATTAACTGGAGTGAAACATGTACCGGGTCTAAAAGGAAATTTGATTTCCTTGGGGGCTTTAGATTCAGAAGGCTGCCGAATTTTTGCTCAAGGTGGAGTGTTAAAAATCTCTAGGGGAGCAATGGTAGTAGCAAAAGGAGTTTTGTCAAATGGCTTGTATAAACTTGTAGGAAAAGATTTGGCACGGAAGCTGTCAGAAGGAAAAATTACAAGTGCAACAAGCGGAGCATTTGCATGGAAGAAGCGGGTGACGTTTGAAGCTTCTCAGGTTGGGGGAGACTGTGACCTTGCCGAAACGAGCGAGGTGGAGCCAGACCATGGTTTGGTTAATTAATCAAGGTGGAGTTTGTTGGGATATTTGATTAATTAATCAAAAAGAAAAGAAAGAAAAAATCACAAAGAGGACAAAGAAGATCAAAAGTGGGATATTTGATTGACTTGGTGCATGTCATCAAATCAAAGAGGATTTTTTGGTTTCTTGACTCCTCAAGCCATGCAAGCATACGGAGTTTTTTTTTGTTATAAAAGTAAGGCAATATGTGGGTGGGCAAAACACACTAAGAGAGAGAAGGAGGGTTTAGAGAAAGGTGCTATACAAGATATCACCAGATTGTGTGAGTGAGTGTAGGGACTAACTGATTTTAGTTACTCAGAAAAATACATCCTGGTGTAGGGTGTGAAAAGTCTGTTTATAAGTGTCTGGTATTTAGCACTTATAAACCGGGAGAGTTTTTTGTATATCGTTCTGAAATAGTGAAGATATAATTTTTTCTCTCATATTTTCTTCTTGTGTAGTGTGTTATTTATTTTTCACGTTCTTGATATTTTAAGAGTCTTACGCGCTTAAAATCCCAACACTAAATTATACTCCCTGTAGACTCTTGGTTTCAATTGTGTTAAAGATTTTATTATTTCATTATGTTTTTTTTTTAAGTTCGGAAAACGAAAACAGCTTTTTCAATCAATGATATGCAGAAATGGCGTTTAAAGCTGCTGGTTTGCTATCATAATAAAAAGTTTCCTAATGCACTAAAATTCAACGGAGTATATCATACAATAAAAATTTCTTCCAGAATAAGATTTAATTTTAGAGTTCTGGATGCTGAATCTGTGTACACTTTGAATATGCATGGAGATCAAAAGTTGAAAATTGGTACTCTATTTTGTCCATTTTTTTCAGATTTGCAGTTTCTCCTCTCCAATGGTACAACCGCCCGAATTACTGGCGGAGCACGTTCTGCGGAAAAGTGGATGCTAGAAACTCGTTACTGGTAGAATAAATTTCTCAGAGAGAAAATCGGCTTTAGTAAAGCCGTTTTTTACAAAAAAAAAAAAATTGAAAATTGGCTTTCACAAAGCCGTTATTTGTATTAAAAAAAAGTTAAAAACAAATTGGCTTTGTAAAAGCCGTTTTTTGTTTAAAAAATTTTTTAAAAAAATGGCTTTCATAAAGCCGTTTTTTTCATTCCAAAAAATATACACACACTTACATTTAAAAAAAAATTGTGCCATTTCATAAACCATTTTTTTAATAAAAAGAAATATTTTTTATGATTCAGTATATAATTTGTTTAAAAAAATCAATCATTAAAAATTTAATAAAGAGATGTTCAACAAGAAAAAGTACGCAATATTGAAAACATAAATATATTATAACATCAACAGAAAATTACATTCTCAACATCTGAAATAAACAAGAATTACAATAACCTCCCTGATACAAACTAAAAAAAATATTAAACTAAAATCATCTCTTTGCCCTAAAATCCATCTCGCCCTGGTATCGATTGCGTTGACGTCTCCCTAAACGTGGAATCTCATCTGTTGGCCGTTTGGGAGGTAGAACTTTAAAGCTGCCAACATCCAAATTTTGAGGGAAAAGAACAGGTTGAATTATACCACTATAACAACTCAAATAGTTTTGAACCGAGTACCTATCCGGTAATATGTTGTGAGGAACTTGTTGTCGAAAAGAGTGGTAAACAGCATGAACATGAACACAAGGTATACTATCGGAAGTCTACTGCCAACAAGTGCATACACTACTAAACAAATTGACCAAGTAGTTGTTAATGGAGAAGGATCTATTCGAGATGTGTGAGTCACTACGTATTGGTTGTTACGGTAGCTTGAGACTGTCCACTTGTGCTTAGTTTTCTCCCGATTAAGGAGAACATTTTTAATTTTCGTAGTAATGTGCATGCTCTGTTCTTGCCACTGAATACCAAGCTTGTACCTTTTAGCAAACAATTCAACCATCTTGGCATAGGACATGGATAAAATGGCAGTGACAGGCAACATTCGACAACCTTTTAGCATATTGTTGAAACTCTTAGAACTATTTGTCGTTAAGATACCACACCTAAACCCACCATCAAAACAAAGGGTCCATGCCGCACGGGGAATATCATTTAAATACTTATATCCCTCCTCACTCATGTTTCGTATTTCAGCCATATATCCTTCAAATTGTTGGATATTATGTGTACTACCAGCGGCCCAAACCAAATTTTTAAGATCACTATTCCGGAACTTTGTCATGAAGTTGCTCCGAACGTGGCGAAGACAAAAACGTTTCATTACCAATCCGGTCTGTAGTTCTGGAAGGTCACGATATGAGTTGATGATTCCAATATGTCTGTCAGAAATAATACAGACTTGTTGTGAGCTGATAACCCTCTGAACAAGAACGCGAAAAAACCAAGCCCAACTCTCACATGTTTCTCCGTCAACAACCGCATAAGCCAGAGGAAAGATTTCACGATTACCATTCATGGCAGCCGCAAGAAGGAGATGACCCTTGTACTTTCCATACAAATGAGTTCCGTCCACCGTAACTACAAGCATGCAGTATTGTAATCCATGTATTGCCGCGGCAAACGCCCAAAATGCATACTTAAAGTGCGGGGTCTCTTCAGGCGTGGCATTAAGGTTTGGCGGTTCGGATGCATAGACAACATCGACTACAGTTCCTGGATAAGAATTTTGTAAATTGTACAACATAATAGGAAGTTGAGAATACGAATTTTAGCTCCCAACTACCGTACAACAACTCTGTAGCACGGATCCGAGCTAACCAATATTTTTTATACGACACAGGAACATGAAATTCTTGTAAAACATCATGTTGGATTAACTTCACTTTGTACTCCGGATCTACATGTACTTTTCCAATAATGAACCGGGCAATGGAGAAATAATCGATGTTTAAATAATCAAAACATCTCTAAATAAGACATTTCGTTCCTCAATATTTAAATCAAAGCCCATGACGGGTAGTCTATCAATCGGAAGTCCTAGTAAGCATTCCACGTCCTGTAAGGTGATACCCATCTCACCAAAAGGAAACTGAAATGCGTGTAACTCCGGTCTCCAACGCTCAACAAGAGAAGTGATTAGACCATGGTCTAATTGGATAGGTTGCACACGGTGCACTCCATAAAACCCTTATCGGTGCAACATTTCATAAACTCTATCATCCAAAAAAACCGTTGGAAGACTACCTTCGTAGCGAACCGGAGAGACTTTGCTGTCTATAAAATCTGAGTTATGACACACCTCATGCAAACGATGTGTAGCTTGTAAAGTAAGAATGTCCCTCGATCTAGGACCCACTATTTCTCTCTCAGGATCATACATTATGCTTCAAAAAAAATTCTAATGAGCTTCTATCTACTCATAGTACAATAAAATAGTTAAAAAAAAATTTGTTTAAAAAAATATGCATTACATATTGTAAAATTAAAAAAAATGCATTACGTATTGTAAAATTTAAAAAAAAAATATGCATTACATATTTAAAAAACTTATAAAGAATTATTCTAAGAAAACATACCTCAACTTCTTGGATGATTATGAAAGAATAGATAAGTTTTGAATATTTAGTGAGAAAAGAAGAGAAAGAATCTGAGATGTAGTTGAAGAGATTATGTATTTTGTGTAAAAAGAAGGAAAAGATTTGATTATTTGTAGTGGAATTGGGAGGAGTAGTAGAAGGGATTAAGTGTGGGAATGGAGAAAGGGATGGGGTCACTGCGCATGCACTGTGCATGCCTATAGATTTGTACTGTAGCACCTGAAATGGCTTTGTAAAAGCCAAAAAAAATTAAATTAAAAATAAAAAAAGAAAATGGCTTTATGAAAGCCGAAAACCATTAAAAAAAATAAAAAAACGGCTTGTCAAAAGCCGATTTTCCTTCTCAGGAATTTACCTTTCCCATTTGAGAATTATATTCAAAATTTTTTCCCTCTTAGGGAAACCACCCTTACTGGTAGTATTTAGCCTTTTACAAGAAATTTATCCCACGCCAATTCCTTTTATTTTTGTAGTGTACTAACACTTTATCGAAGCATCTATTCTAAATAAATAACGAGTTCGGGTAAACAAATTACTACCTCCGTCACTTTTCAATTTAATCTTTACTTTATAGTAAGATAGATGTAAACTTATTAACAATGTCCTTTTTGGAGTTATTTTTTTCTGGTGCAGATTGTTCATTCTTCCAAGTAAGGTGATAATAAAATTCAAGGAATGTGCAGGAACTTTTTGTGGAGATCTACATCAGATTACACTAGGACCCCATCAGCTGGGAAGAAGTATGTAAACTCAGAAAGGTAGGTCGTTTGGGTTTCAAGAATCTGATTTATTATAACTATGCTTGCAATCAAAAACAATATGGCCATATGGGATATTGCCAACAAAAAAGGGCATCTTATGGGCAAGTTGGATCCATAACAGGTACCTTAAAATGATACAATTTGGAGCCTCCAACCTCAAGCAGACACTTGTTACAATTTGGGAAAGATAATGAGTAGCATGAGATATTTTATTGGTATGAACCTTGATTAGACATATGATACATATAGAGGTTATAACTTGCTAATGAGGGAGTGTAGAGAAATGCAGGGATATCTTTTTGTATGTAATAAATTTTCTTTACATAAGCATCATTTTCTAATGTGGTTGTGGTGTAAAGGTAGATTGCTAATAAAAGTAAGGTTAAGCAATTTTGTGGAGGTTGATCTAAGATGTGTAATTTATTATGCTGCAGATGAAGACACGAATCAACTATTTCTCTCTTGGAACTATGCTAATAGCATTCAACAGAGCATATTTAACTGGCTTAATTACTAGTGGAAGGCTAGAAATGAAAAAGAAGTAGAGAGTGAACTTATAAGAATTAAAGGAAGATTGAGGATGCAAAGCTTGGTAGCTGGTTTTGCTGCTATACGTTACGTAGTATGGAGATCTAGGAATATGAAGATTAAGCAGGGAAAAGATTAGACAAGTAAGAATGTAGTGAGTGGATCCAATATCAATTGAAGGCGTATATCAATGTTAAGATTAAAAGTATGTATGTGAGATAATAGTATCTAGAGTAGTGTTTGATGACCTTTGGAGTTTGTTGGATGTCTATCATGTATCTGGACTTGGTGGAATTAATATTAGTACACATTTGTTTAAAAAAAGATAGATATGATGAGTAGATTAATAGTGAATATATATAATGTGATACTCAAACCCTTAGTCAGAAATTTGACAATGACATAGGGACATGATATTTTCCTCCAACTCAACCCTAGGGCCCCACAACGTAGGGGTTGAGGAGGGAAACTGCTTCTTCAACCGGCATAGAGGCGAGTCTAGTTCGCCTCGTTAAGGAACTCCACCAACAGAGAGTTCAAGGGGAACCAAAGTCCCTTCCTCAAGAAGCCAGGTGAACAATGAAGAACCCTCGAGGGCATCCAGGGTGCCCTAGGTCCTGCTGGGCCGCCGAACTTCAATGGAGGGGCCGACCATATCAGTAGCGTCGGCAAACCCTTGGTAAGAAATTTGACAATGGCATAGGGCCATGATGTTTTCCTCCAACTCAACCCTAGGGCCCCGCAATGCAGGGGTTGAGGAGGGAAACTGCTTCTTCAGCCGGCATAGCTTCTGGCCAGGCGCCACCGCCGATAACGGCTGAGGCGAACTGGACTGACCTTGTGATACGAGAAAGTGGGGAAGGGCTTTGAGTGCCTTCGTACTCCGAATAGGTAATTAGGGTTTCTATTATGTGATATCATAGATGGAGATTACATCCTCTATTTATAGTTGCTGGAACCCTAACCCTAGTCTATCCTGTCGGTTCAAAAAAAGCGTCAAGGAAAAGAACCGAAAAGAAAACCCTTGAAGGGACTTATAAATCGTCCACCTAAGAAAATATATTACATGAAAATAAAGTAAAACTATTAATTCACTTTAAAACGTAATCGTCGTGCCATCCCGGTGCTTTCCTCGTCCGTGGCTCTCGTATCTCCTCTCGACCCTCGCGGCACACATTCCTTTTCCCTTCGGTCTGTTTAGCCCTGGCTCGGCCCACTGGCTTGTCCCGCTCACTAGAGGTCTCCTTCCGAGACCCATGCAGTCCTTGCGTAACATTCCCTTCCGCTTGCGAAGCCACCTTGTCCTCAAGGTGTAACGTCGGAAACCGTTGGTGAAGCCGATCGTATGGTTCCCATGTGACGTCATCTCGTCCCCCATCTGTCCATTCCACCAAACATTGTTTCTCTGGTGTTCCCCGCACCAAAACCTGTCGCTCGGCGAGAATCCGCGCTGGCTCCGATAGGGGCTGCCCATGCACGAACTCGGATGGTAGCGCAAGTTGTTCCTGCTCGGGTGACTCTCCATAGTACGGCCGCATCAAAGAGACATGGAATACGGGGTGTATCCGTGATCCCGGCGGTAATTCTAGGCGGTAGGCTGCCTCTCCAATCCGTGCAAGCACCCGATAAGGCCCATAGTACCGTCTTGCTAGTTTCTGTGAACTCCGACGAACAACGGAATGCTGGCGGTACGGCTGCAGTTTCAACAGTACCCAATCTCCTTCTTTGAACTTCAAATCCGTGCGGTGCCTATTCGCCGTTTGAGTCATTCGTCGTTGAGCTTCTTTCAAATTTTCCCGCAAGCGTCGGAGTAAAGAGTCCCGCTCCTGCAAAAAATTATCTACCTCCGGTACTTTGCTATCGCCCCGGCGATATGGTAAAAACGTCGGTGGTGGTCGCCCATACAAAGCCTCGAACGGGGTCCTCTTTAATCCGGAATGCACGCTGGTATTCAGAGCATATTCTGCCCATGGCAGGAGGACCGTCCAGCGGGAGGGTTTGTCTTGTGCAAACGCCCTCAGGTACTGCTCCACCGCTCGGTTCATGACCTCCGTTTGCCCATCGGTTTGGGGATGGAATGACGTGCTCATTGCCAACGTCGTCCCGCTCGCCTTCAATGCTTCTCGCCAAAAGTTGCTAAGGAAAACCCGATCCCTATCCGATACAATTGTCTTGGGAAACCCGTGAAGCTTCACCACAATATCAATGAACAAGTGAGCTGTTCGATGAGCGTCGAACCCCGCGGGTAATGCCCCCAAATGAACTACCTTTGTTAATCGGTCCACCACGACCATTATGACCGTATAACCCCGCGAAGGTGGAAGCCCTACTATAAAATCCATGGATATGTCTTCCCATACTTGGCTTGGCACGGGTAGGGGCTGCAACAACCCAGCAGGGGGTTGGGTGGAGTATTTTGCCGTCTGACATGTATGGCACTGCTGCACGTAAGTCTTGACATCAGCCCTCATCTACGGCCAGTAAAAGTCCTGTGCGAGCCGTAGGAAAGTTCGGTGAGTGCCCGGATGCCCTGCCAAGGGTGTGTCATGGTGTTCTCGGATGAGTTGGTGGCGTAAGTCTGATGACGATCCAATACAGATCCGTCGTTTGTAGTAGAGCATCCCTGCCACCACTGTGTAGGGTTCGGCCAGTCTCCCTTCGGCATGCTCCTGGTGGCGCGCGATCAGATCTGGTTGGGTAGTATTTTCTTGCCGGATTGCCTCCATTAAGTCTGGCACTAAAGAGGAGATGGCGAGTAACTGCTGCCCATCTTGTTCGGCCTCGTCCCGTCGGGATAGGGCGTCTGCGACCCGGTTGACGGCCCCCGGTTTGTACTCAATTTTGAATTGATACCCCAAAAGTTTTCGAATGTAAAAGTGTTGGTCCGGTGTTTGGATCACTTGTTGCAATAACTCCCGCAGGCTCTGGTGGTCGGTGCGAATTAGAAATTCTCGCCCCAATAAATATTGCCGCCAACGTTGTACCGCCTCTACGATGGCGTAGAGTTCCTTGTGGTAGGTGGAGGCAGCTAACCGCTTGAGACTCAGTTTCTTGCTGAAATAAGCGACGGGTTGCTCTTGTTGGAGAAGCACTGCACCTACCCCGGTTCCGGAGGCGTCTGTTTCCACCACAAATTTATGGGAAAAATCCGGTAACCGCAAGACTGGGGCCGTTGTCATGGCTGTTTTCAGTTTTTCAAAAGCTGCGTCGGCCTTGTCATTCCACACAAAGGCGTCCTTCTTAAGCAAGTCAGTGAGTGGTGCAGCTATATGGGCGTAGTGGCGTACAAATCTTCTGTAATACCCGGTGAGGCCGAGGAATCCCATTAACTGCCGCAGGGTGTTCGGTCTGGGCCATTGCTCCATGGCTGATATTTTAGTTTTATCTGCTTTTAGGACCCCACTGGTGACGATATGTCCCAAGTATTCAACCTGTTCCGCCCCAAATGTACACTTCGAGCGCTTGATGTAGAACTGGCTGTTGCGAAGGAGGGTGAATACCTGTTCCAAGTGTTGCTGATGCTCCTCTACGGATGGGCTGTAGACTAATATGTCGTCGAAGAATACGATCAGGAAACGCCGAAGATAAGATGCGAATAATTGGTTCATGCAAGCTTGAAAGGTTGATGGAGCGTTGGTGAGGCCAAACGGCATGACCAAAAACTCATAATGCCCTTCGTGCGTCCGGAAAGCAGTCTTGTGTATGTCTCGGTCATTCATTCGGATCTGGTGATATCCCGACCGCAAGTCCAGCTTGGTGAACACACGCGCCTTGCCGAGTTCGTCAAACAGTTCGTCGGCCGTAGGAATGGGGAAGTGATCGGGGACCGTCACTGTATTCAACGCGCGACAGTCCACACAAAACCGGTACGTCCCATCTTTCTTTCGCACCAACAGTATCGGCGACGAGAACGGACTCCGACTTGGACGAATGATCCCCTGTTCAAGCATTTGCTTCACCTGTCGCTCGATTTCCTCCTTTTGGAAGTGTGGATACCGGTAGGCTCGTACATTCACCGGAGCCACGCCAGGTTGCAAATAGATCCGGTGGTCGACTGTACAGTGTGGAGGCAGGCCCTGGGGTTCCTTAAACACTTCGTCAAAACGCTCTAGGAGCGCTGCAATTCCCCTCGGCAGCCCCTCTTCTGTCGCACCAGACTCTCCTTTTTCTGTGTCTTCGGCTTCGGCAACCATGAGAAGAATTCCAGCATCTACCTCATGCCGCGCGTGCAAGGCCCGCAAGTGGTGCAAAGAGGTCTGCTTAGGGACCACTGCATCCCCCCGTAGAGTTACTGTCTGTTCTCCCCAGGCAAACTCCATTGTCACCTTTTCGTAGTCGTGTAGGACGCGCCCCAGACCCCTCAACCATTGGACGCCTAGGACCACATCATGCCCGTGGATTTGGAGGACATACAAGTCTACTGTAAATGTCGTACCTTGCAGCTCTAGGGCAACATTCCGGCATTGTTGGGTACAACACAGTGAGTCTCCGTTGCCGACGTATACTCGAAACGCTGCCACTTTCTCCAAACTTAGCCCCAATTTTTCCACCGTGCGGGGATGCACGAAATTGTGCGTGCTTCCCCCGTCGATTAAAACATCCAGCCCCTGTTGCCCAATTTTTCCCGTGAGTCGCAGGGACCGAGGCGTGGTGACCCCCGACATACTGTTCAAACTCGAAATGTCGGCGGCGACCTCAATTTCTTCATCTTCTTCGGGTTCCTCCTCCTCCCCATCGTCTTCGCCCATGATCCGAATGAACCGTCCACATTTATGTCCCTTGTGCCACTTTTGATCGCAATTATAGCATAATCCCTTTGCGTCTTTTTCCAATCGTTCGGCTCTGGTGAGGCGCTTGATCGGTGGTGTGTTGGAAGACTCCCGCCCCTCGGATGTAGCTTTGACCCCGCTGCTGATCTGGGCCGGCTTAGTCACTGACCCAGCGGACCCCTCTGCCACGGCCCGGCTAGGGTTGCCTCGATTGAAATTGGTACCCCACGACGAACTCTTCAGCCCTACCGAATGCACGATGGCTTGGTGCTTTGCCTCTAATTCCCGTGCTAACGCAAAGGACTCCGATAACGTCTCAGGTTTGAGCAAACTAATCTCGTGCTGCAGGTGGTTCTTCAAGCCTGCATGAAATAATGATTGAAGATAAGGCTCGGGGACGTCGGTGACGTGGGTGAGGACCTTCTCGAAAGCGGCCTGGTACTCCATGACTCCTCCTGACTGCCTGACTCGTGCTAATTGACCCACATAGTCCACATAATGAAGCGGGTCGAACCGTAACTTGAATTTCAGCACGAAGTCATCCCAATCCGCGATTAGGCCGTTGTTCCGCCTCCACCGAAACCAATCAGCTGCCTGTCCTTCGAGCATCATCGTTACACATCGTAACCTTTCCTCCGGCGGCGTTTCATAGTAGGCAAAATATTCCTGTACCTGATATAACCACCGCAAGGGTTCCGCGCCATCACTCTTGGGCGGCTCAAGCTTGGGCTTCGGCGTGTGAAATCCCCCGCCTCTGTCGTGGTGCTTCGGGTGCCGCCCTGCCCGTCCGCCGCCCCCTGCTTGGAAGCCAGCGACGGCAGTTTGGATGGTGGTCAGAGCTGCATCCAGCCGCTCGAATCGGTATTCTAGATCCCTCTGCATCTGCACCATGGCGTGTCCCATCTCACGAACCCTAGCGTCGAGTTCGTGCGTGGTGGACGATGCGTCTGTCATGTCTCTCAACGAGAGCACTCTGATACGAGAAAGTGGGGAAGGGCTTCGAGTGCCTTCGTACTCCGAATAGGTAATTAGGGTTTCTATTATGTGATATCATAGATGGAGATTACATCCTCTATTTATAGTTGCTGGAACCCTAACCCTAGTCTATCCTGTCGGTTCAAAAAAAGCGTCAAGGGAAAGAACCGAAAAGAAAACCCTTGAAGGGACTTATAAATCGTCCACCTAAGAAAATCTATTACATGAAAATAAAGTAAAACTATTAATTCACTTTAAAACGTAATCGTCGTGCCATCCCGGTGCTTTCCTCGTCCGCGGCTCTCGTATCTCCTCTCGACCCTCGCGGCCCACATTCCTTTTCCCTTCGGTCTGTTTAGCCCTGGCTCGGCCCACTGGCTTGTCCCGCTCACTAGAGGTCTCCTTCCGAGACCCATGCAGCCCTTGCGTAACACCTTGCTCTTGGCTGGAGGGGGCCGATTGATTGGCCTGAAGAGGGCTAGATCATAGAAGGTGGGGAAGCAGATTCTAAATCCGAAGTGGTCATGATAGCGAAGGAAGAACTGACCTGAAAATTGAGGAAGCGGGTTGGGTTGCAGCAAAAGAACAAATTGACGCAGGTATAGATGAAAATGACATCCAATGGCGGTTTTTAATAAAGGTGAAGTGGAAGGCGAAGTGGCAGGCCATGATTACATTTGAGGGAGATCGTGACAACCTTCACGCGAAAATCAAGGAACGCCTCTGATCCGTTGAGGGAGCACCCACGTGGACCTCGTAAACTCCCCATTCCTCAACGTGGCCCGTCCGAGGAATGTAGAGTTGCGGGGCTTGTGATGGGCTGATACCCAACGGGCGGCCCAAACATCGCGCCCAAATGGTGCTCGGTCACTAGACCGGGTGTGCAACAGTTCTGGGCCGGCCTACGAGTTTAGGCCTGGACCAGCCCAATGAAGAGACAGCTCGAGGAGCCCAAAGCAGGGGAGGAAACTCTGCTGAAGGCGGAGAGATAGCCGAAGAAAGGGGAATGCGCCAATGGCGGATGAGTCCATTACGTAGAAAACATGTATAAATAAAGAGGACTCGAATAGGTATCCTCAAGCTGGATCAAGCATATAATATCATAATTCTCAAGTTCTTGTTTATCGTTAATTCTTTTGATTCGTCGTTCTAAGTCAGATCATTTGGTGGATTTATTGTCCATCAAGAGCCTTTTTAAAAGAAACTCATTCTTGCCTATTAACTCAAATGGTAGAGCCGTATGTACTACAAATGTAAGTACGAACCTTGCATAGGCAAAAAAATTTTCAAATCTAAATTACACTTCTTCTAAATACAATGTATTTTTAGGCTCTTTAGTCTTTACTCACATGCAAGGTCAATCAAAAGTCAATATTTACTAATCTACAACGATAAATAACCAATGCATGCATAATTTACATTATGTATTGCAGTTTTATATTAAAATGGTGCATATTGATAAAAATATTATCACGTGAGTAAAACAATTAGAGTTGTTCACATTTAGGTCTGGACCGAAAAAACCAACCGAACCGGATCGTTAGGTCCAGACCAAACCCAGACCTTCGGGTTGATCTTCGGTCCTGAAAATTTTGGCATTCGGGTTTCAGTTCGGTCCGGTCCAAACCTGAAATGATTTAGGTCCGGACCGATTGGACCTAATGACCCCACTGGACCTAAAAGACCTAAATACTAAAAATCTACTTTTTAAGTCCCGTATTACACTTTGATGCTCTATTTTAATAAATATTTTAATTTATTTAGTTAAAAAGGTGCTTTATTAAGTAATTTTAAAAATAATAAAAAAAACGTTTCATATTTGTTTTTATGGTTCTACATTGAAGTAGTTCATATTGTGTATCCGTTTTAAGGTTGCCTATTTTTTTTATTCATTTTCTATTTGAATGGTATAAAGTAAAAGGTCTAAAATATATTTAATTGATCAAAATAATTAAAAAAAATATATTTTTTTCGGTCGAATCTGTCCGAACCGGTTCGGTTCTAAATATTTCGGTCTGGTCCGGTCCAAACCCAAATAGATTTAGGTCCGGTCTTCGGTCCTTGAATTTACTCATTTCGGTCTTTGGTCATGTCCGGGTCGGTCCAGTTCGGTCCGGTCTTAGACCGATGAACAGCCCTAGAAACAATATGCAAAAAAAAAGTCAAAAAAGTGATGAAAAAAGAGATGATTGAATAGTATTTAGAAAAAAAGAAAAGATTAAATTATAAACCACATATTATTTTCTTTCAAAAAAATAATGCAAATAAATAAATAATTCTCTTACACTTTGAGAAATGCATTAAAATAAAGCAAAAAATAAAATATTATAAAGATGTTAGTAGTACATATTATCCATTATTGATTTTAATAATTACAAATAGTTCAAAATTTTTTTAAAAAAAAAGAGAAAAAAGAATAAACCATTAACTTGACAACTCCATAATTACACGATTAGAAAATGATTAATATCATAGAAATCATCCTAAATAGGACTAAAACATAGAGAAAAGTACCAAAATAGAACTTTCATGTTCTTTTTCCCGGAATAGGACTTTGCATTGTGGTAATTAGGGGTGGGCGTGAAATCCGTTCCCGTTGGACCGTCCCGAAAAATCCCGAATCCGTTTTGTAATTGTACCGATATATTGGGACACATTTTTTTTGTCCCGAACCCGTTCCGTCCCAATATCAAATGGGATATGAGCGGGACAGCTTAAATTTATACTGATCCGTCCCGTTTGTCCCGTTTCATCTACTCTACTAATATATAATACTAATTCTAGTCCAAAATCCAAATACACTCATTCTTTAATTAGTTAGTTATTTAATTAAATTAACTTCATGAGCTTGAAATTTATTTAGACCCGTTCCAGTCATTGTTTTTTGTTGGATGACTAGATGTTTCTTTTTTTGAATGAAATGTCACCTTCTTTCCCTTCTTATATTTGCAATTAGGAAGTAGGACGACCCGAATCCGTCCCGTTTTATTCCGATCCCGAATTTAATGGGACAAACCGGGATTAGAGTGTGATCCGAACCGCTCCAGACCGTTTATATATAACGGGACAAGACGTGGGACAACCTAAAATCCGGACCGTCCCAATCTATGCCCACCCCTAGTGGTAATGTGACTTTGCATTGTGGTAATGTGGCAGTATACATGTGTAAATTACTATACTTTCTTGGTAATGTATATGACCATGTTGGTAATGTAAGTCCTATTTCGGGAATAAAAACATGGAAGTTCTATTTTGGTATATCTTAAATGTTTGAGTCCTACTTTAGTCTTTCTCCCTTAATATCACCATCATTAATTTGACCACTCTAAAAATAATGGCTAAAAAATTGGGCCTTAATGTGTACGGATCATTAGCTATTTTAATTAATACATCCTTTACAAAAATACCATTACGTACTACTCTATCTCTTCATATTTTATTTCAAATGCATTAATACTTACCACATAAACAAGCACTTGTCAAAATCTGAGCCGCATGATATGCACAATCCAATGATTTAGATCTAGTCTCATTAGTTTCACCAAGGTTCAATCTCACAAGAACCAACCCGTGTGTGTGTGTATATGTTCTGGTGAGAATGTGATATTATAAAACAAATAAGAATGAATTTGGTGCTTTAGATTGTGAGATTTAAGGGGCAGGATTGCATCAAAATTAGGTGCACCAAAATCGTTTGAAAATGCGTCATGTCAAAATGCACCAAAATCCTTTTAAAATGCAATATTTCAAAATCTGAGCGCAAGGTGCAATCTGAGCCGATATATATAGGAGTGGTTCAACTCACACTAGTGGGTAATAAATACGGGGACCATGCTACATTTACACCAAAAAATATACCCCATTTGTACACCACATGTTTGCACAAACATTTCGATGATTTACACCGACACAAGTGTTGGTGCGTTAATAAAAATTCACACGGACACAAATGTTGGTGCATTTAACAAAAATTAGTTTTACACTAACACAAAGTGTTGGTGCAAAACTGCGGGGTACAAATTGGGGTACAAACCTTGGGTACACATAGTATAATCCTAAATACGGAGTAATATAGACAATTAAACACTCCACATCCTTAATTTAAAATTCAAAAAGTTAACAGTAAAAAATCCGAAATAAAATCTTTTTAAATAAAACGGTAAAATGTGCAGTTTAACATTTTCGCCGTATCAGCTTCCATCCCCATCAAATTGACCCGAAACTCTTCTGAAATTTGTCGAAGTCAACTCCCTTGGTGTCATGGAAGTATGGAATATGGATCATGTTACACAATGCCATATTCCTGAAAAAGACAAAAAAAAATGTGCATTGACTGCAAATTAAATTATGTACTCCGTAATTTTTTTAAGACACACTAACTAATGTTGTAAAAATACACATAACAAAACTATGGTCTTACAGTCAAATATCGTAATAATTACTTTTAAAATTGTATTTTTAAAATTTTCTATCAAAATAAATATATTAAAAAATTAAAAATGTTGAGCCCGAGAAAAAAATGGATCTTGGTGTGTAGGTCACCTTAGCGCACCCTTAGACCGGCCATGATATTACATTCATGTGAAAATTTACACTAATTGATCAATTATTTTCCAGATGTTAGAAATATTCACTGATAATTATTATCTCTATGAAAAATTACTAAATAGTGTTATAGTGTTATAGTAACATTATTACTATTGGTTTCATTTGGAATTTTACTCTCTTGATCTCTTCAATACCATATATTCAATATTAATAGTTAATATTATACATAAAAAATTATAATAAATGCCATATATTTTGAAATCATGTTTCAAACTAATTAATTTGTACTCCGTATTAATTTCAGAAACACAACAAAATTTTAATGCATATCATAGTGAAATTTTGTCAAGTTTAACTACTAACTTTAATGTGAGAAGAATATTCTTTGTTTGAAAAATAAAGCCAACTAGACCTACAATGAATATTTTGAACCAAGAAATCATTGGGTCCTGAATCCTGAAAAGATTTTTTTTTACATTATGCACCAAA